CGCCCTCTGGCCTTTGGATGGAGATTTACTGCTGATCACAGAACCGTGCTTCACTGAAAGATACGCATGACAATCGCTGCTTCTGTCTAATCGCGATTTCGATTCCATTTCGATTTTTTCGTGCAGCCCTAACCATAGATGCTGCATTTTAGAAACACACTCGCATTAGCGTTAACTAGTTTATTTGTAATCTGATGCAAAGGTAATATAATACAAACAATAGTGTTATAAATGTACATACATTTAAAAAAAAATACAAATATGAAAAACTTTTGAGGATTTATGATGCTGATGACCGTTAAACACGTCATCACAGTCTTGTGTAAAGGGTCCATTACAATTAAATGTTAACATTATTATATTAACCTATTTTCTCAAATAATAATGTTTTCTATTTGAATGTGTTTTTGTGAATATGTGAATTTTCAGCTTCATTACTCCAGTCTTCAGTGTCACATGATCCCTCAGAAATAATTATAATATGCTGATTTTCTTCTCAAGAAACATTTATTATTATCATCAATGTTGAAAACAGTTGTTCTGCTTAATATTTTTGCAAAAACTGTAAGTTTTTTTCAGGATTCTGTGATGAATAGCAAGTTAAAAAGAACCGCATATATTTGAAATAGAAATTGTTCTTTACGGTCACTTTTGATCAATTTAATGCATAATTGCTGAATAAAAGTATGAATTTATTTCAACAGAAGTTACTGACCCCAAACTTTTGCATTTAGCATCAAAATATTAAAATACATATTGTGTCTTATATTAAAATATAATATAGAATATTCTAATATAGAACACAGTGTTTTATAATACTATTCTATATGTTATAATTACATGCTCTTCTATCTTAACCCACCAAACTTTCTGTTAGCCTTATTACAGCTACAGTTTCAATGCAGATATTTATCACTTCATTAACACACATCCCTCCCTTTCTTCCTGTGACTCTACAGCAGTTGTATCAGATCCAGCAGGTGACGATGCCGGCGGGACAGGAACTGACTCAGCCCATGTTCATTCAGTCCACCAACCAGACGGCTGACGGGCAGGTCACCACGCAGGTCAGTGCGGACTGAGGCTGTCCGTCCAAGTCCTCACTGGCCCACGGAGCTCCAGACACCACCATCCACAATGAAGGAGAGGAGCCGCCACACACCAACACCTAGTCCTTCCACTTCCCTTCATCTCATGCCATACTTTGATCAAGTTCTCCGACTGGTTTCATTCAGCAATCAAATAATAAACTTCAGATTTAAGCTTCATAATTTACCGTCCAAAATACATGTATTGCTGTTTTGTTAACAGAGTTTGGGTCTCTTTACTACAGTGCTGGAAGGATCAATGTGTAGTGGCAGAGATTTGATTTCTGCCATATTGATTTCAACTATGTCTTCTGCAATATGGCTATGAACCCACTGTGTTCCTTGCAGTATAGGTAGAATATGTCCTTGTTTCATAGTTTAATGTGGATATGGGTAGAGATTATGCTTTCAGATCTGTTCAGTAATATTGATATGACATTAGGGTGAGGCTTGTGAAACCTGAGCTGGAGGGCACTTCTTTCGTGGGGGGAAAAAAAAAACTTTTTTTTTTTTTTAAACCCTCATCCATTTTGACAGATTATGCCATCTCATGATGTGTAGAGTTCTAAACTTGATAAAAGCCATAATCTACACATTCTGCATCTGTAGTTTAACTCTGTAATTCTATAGTAATTGTATTAGTTCAGTTGTGGTATATTGTATAGTTTTGAAATTTGACAACGTTGTATTTGTTAAAGGGCTTCTTATTGTTGGGTTTTCTACATGCAGAATGGTCCTCTTTGTGTGAATGTGTAATTGACGTACTTTCCTTGAGTGTCTTTCTGGACTAGTTTTAAAGAGACTTCTTTTGCCCCTTGAAAGTGAACTGCTCCACTGTTACCTACTTGTAAAAACAACACCTTAATTAAATAAAAACCCTTTTATATAAACATTTTTAATACCAGTTGTAACATTTTTTTTATTGGCCTCTTGTTTTGTTTTTTTCGTATTATAATTGTTGGTCCTGTTGTTTTGCATGCAGTTATGACTGCCAGCATGATATGCAATACCTAGGTACAAATTTTATTTTTGTGTTCTTTTTTTGTAAACAGACCTTGGCTTGTGAGAAAATAAAAACTCCCAAAAAGGTTGGAAGTTGCGTTTTTTTATATCACAGTACATTGTAAATAAATTATTGAGTGGACGTGCTTCCTGGTGGTTTGAGATTAAGGTTTTAACTCGTCTTTTGTCATGTACTAGCCTCATTCTACCAAATGAAGGCTATTTATAAATGTTTTCATTAGGTTATTAACTTTGAGTACATTTATTTTTAACACCGAGTACATTAGATTTGCCGCTAGGTTTGCCTCCTGTACTGATGGAGAGTGGCGGTGTTTATTTTTAACACACGGTGGCGCCATTTCAACCTGACTAGTGCTCAATCACTGGAAGGCACATTTGTGATTAGTAGAACTCACCGACTCATTTCTGCGAATCGAATCTAGTTTTCAAAGAACCACTTCTAAATACATATTAAGCCGTTGTGTTATTAATAAATGTTTTATTGTAATTTGTGTCTCAGTCTGTTAATTGCTGACATGACTCAAAAATAAGTAAATTAGAACTTAATTATACTTTGCATTTACATCAGATACATCTTTCTAGTGCATTTACTTACGCTGCCAGAATCAGACTGGCAGCTGCCACCAACCACTGACAGGTCACGTGACTTGCCACTGGCAGGTCACGAGACCT